ACTGATAACTTTAATTTAAAACTGAATCATGGGTCTTTTGGATTGATTTTGAACAAAATGCCAGGCTGTCACTGAAAACAATTAAACACAATCGTTCAAAAGAGTGATTTGGTCATGTATAAGACACCACTGGTTGTGCTGTTGGATGAATGGTTAACAAAAACCAACGTTATGAAAATCATTCAGGACCAATATTTTTTAACAAACGGAACTGGTTCTGAATGAGACTAGTTCTTAATTCCCAACCCCACCTCTTACGCTGACACTGGAATCAATGATGTTGTTCAAATCACCAAGCATGAGTTATAGTAACAGTGATGGTTGCCTCAGCAAACACCGCTTAATTATAAAGAAAAGAGATGACTTGACTGTTAGAGTTAATGGCTGAATCACAAAGCAGTAAAACAGACTCAGAGAGAGAAAGAGAGGGGAAAGGCCATCACGATTCATCGGTTCCCACATCCCTGTCTTTATCTCCCATTGGATTTATTGGTGAGGATGTAGCAATTACGCCCAGACAAAACAAGCAACCAAATGTGAAGTTTTCAAAGGAAGACACTCCAACGTGTAGAGTCTCCAAAAGAGAGCGAGAACGCCATCACATAACGATAAACCTAATCCTGTTGTTGACATGTCAGCCAGGATTACGCCAAAACTACAGCCATCCGAACCAGCCAAAGCCCTGCAATACGAAGATCGCCTTTGGTTTCCACCAAATAATGAAACCTTAAAATAACCTGGGTATTTACTAGCACAAGATCAACCCTCTGACAGGGAGAAAAAGAGAAACTATAAATCAATCCGTGTTCCTGTCAGCATCCCTTAAAATGGAGCAAGGCGTGCCAGAGCGTGGGGTTGACAGATCGGTACTGAAATACCACTGCGCTGTTACCGTGACGCTTCTGTTGACGAGGTTTAAAAATAAGTGCGCGGCACGTCACACTAATCATAACGCATCGGGCATTTACGCCAAAGCTGGTGTGTTTTGATAAGGTTCTAGGAAACAAAAACAGCTGCCAAGAAGAGCTCGAAGAAAAGCTTAATGCGTCTCCGGGTGATTACGAATGTGCACTCTTGAACGCTTAAGACCCCGAGGGACGGGACTAAAAAAAGTCACCTTTAGAGTAACAATACTTAAAGCAAACAATCAGAGAAAAAGCTTGTATGGTTTTACAACATACCCAAGTTAAAACTTTTAATTAATTACAAGCACAACTAATACGTCTAGCGGCAAAAACAGTCAAGTAATAGAATCGTGTGGTTTAACTAGATTACATTTCCTGAAGAAAATCTGACTGGTACTTGGAAATACAAAAACCACATTAACATCAAGTACTGAAACAAACGAAAACAATAAAATGCAATAAACTCCATTTCCAAGTGGCTTTTCTGAAGTGGCGATACCATAATATGCAGACAAAAGCATTGCATCACACCCAGATCTTTAAATCTGGATTATCTTGAGATGGTTTATTCACTGGCCGTCTAACAAATCCACTGAGCTGTAGTCTACAACGGCAGCTAATTCCCCGCTTGAGCCAATAATAACGGCCAGAAAGGGTGTGAACCCATGGCCGGCCTGTTTTCGCCTCAAGCAGAGTTCCAGATGTTGGAAAACAGTTTATGGGCAGCAAAGATCTCAATATTAAACATTCGCACACCCGACAAAACCCCCAGAAAGGATTTCCTGGATTGCCATCCGATGGAGCAATAAACTTAGCAACTCATGTCAGTCAGAGTTATGACAGTGAGCTCTGATCTCGCTGCTGGGCCGAGAGCAACTGAGAGCAACTTCCACCGACTCATAGCGATCGCCACTATATTTAGGGTCAGGATGCAGACTGCTGAATCAACGCGGATATAACGAATGATGTTATGGGATGCAGACGAGCAAATGGTTTGAGTGGGTATTTAGAAGAGCCCACGATAACAATATCATGCATATTCATTACCGTGATATATCGCATTACCGAATACCTGCACAAGTCTAGTGTCAACAGTACAGATATGTTCTTTGCAATACGTTCAATGTGAAACGGCATTCACAACTCATAAAACTGCTGTAACCTGAGCTGCTTCTGAATGAAACTGGATATTCATTGAGAGAGAGAGAAAAAAAGAGCATGACTTGATTAGTCAAATAGTGAAGATTAGGAATGACCAGGAGTGCCACTGCAAAATTTTTTTAAAATAAATAAATAAAATAAATAAAAATAATTTGATAATAGAATAAAAATACAAATTAATAATAAAAATAATGATAACTAATAATAATAATAACAACTAAATAAATAGAACACATATTTATGTTTTTTTATACATTTTTCAAAATAAATAGGGAATCACAAATATTACAATTTTGGCCGATATAAGCCAATAATTATACTAATATTATGGGCAAATAAGCAATACATTTTTTTATTTAAAACATATGACAAAATAAAGACTGCATACACTTTAAAACATAGCTAAAAAGCCAAAAGCCAAGTTACGAAAACCACAAAAGATAATCTAAACTAAATCATCACCTTAAGGTTTAAATACAATAAATCATGACCTAGCATGACAAAAGCGTGATTCTGTTCGGTGCACTGCCACTTACACAGCCCATCACCATATATATCAAATACAGGTTCAGTCCACGACTAAAAAAGCCTTGTTAAAGCAGGTCCCTTCCCCTCGTCAAATGACTGCAGAGAGGGGTTAAATTAGCCTGTGTTATTCTCAGGGTGATAACGACTGTGTGTGCAGTGTTAGTGGATATGCTAGTCCGGCAGGGGCACGCAGCAGGTACTGTCGCTCCTGCATTCCTGCACGGCCACGCGATGTGGGAAAACCAGCCTTGCCTGCCGTCGGATGGCTCAAGCCCACGGCGCCCCACCTGCACCATGGGATGTGGAAATGTGAAACCACTTTAGAGCCACTTGAAAAGCCGGTCTGGTTCCCCTCCCTGACACTCAATAGCATCCCCTCCTCACACCTCGAGATCTGGTTGTTAAGAGGCAAGAGGAAAAGGTATTTTGTGTTTTGTTTGAGCTGTTGTCGTCCCTCCCCCTGAGGCCCCGCGTGAACCCCCTGTGCTTGTTTAAGGAATGTACCAGAAGACAATAGCAGCAGTCAGAGGAAGCCATGAATGGGGGCCATTGGTCGTGGAGCACTATAGGGCCAACAGAAAGGTTTCTACCAGGGACAAAGCTCAGTATCACTCTTCTAACCACCAGAACAGAATCAAACATGAAAACTACCCTCGAGAATACAAAAAAAGATTAACATTTCAACTTAAGAATTAGGCCAGAATTGCAAGTACGCAAATGACAATGCTTAGCGAACTCTATGCAATTTACTATTATGAATTTGCCTGACACTTTTATCCAAAAAAGCTACTTGCATTGCATTCAAGGTATGCCTTTCATCAGTTCATGCATTTCCTGGGAATCGAACCCATGGCCTTGGCGTTGCTCTACTATTTGAGCTACAGGAACACAATGCAAGTCAATGCAAATGTCAATGCTTAGTGAACACAATGCAATTTACAATAAAATTTACTACTATGCATTTGGCAAGCAATTTTATCCAAAGCGACTTGCATTGCATTCAAGGTATGCATTTCATCAGCTTTCAGCATTCCCTGGGAATCAAACCCATGACTTTGCCTTTGCTGGTGACATGCAGGAACACAATGAAATTAGACAGCACCGTTGTTAACCTACATTCTTGGACAAAAAAAGGGAATAGTGTTTACTGAAATCACACACAAACAAGGTCAAATTGTTTAAAAATATTTAACTTCATAAAGTCAAGCCGTAGTTAACCAAAAATCTTTTCCCAAGGACATTATAAAATAGATCACCATCAGTTCTGTCTAAAAAAAACCTTTCCTGTAGCCTATATTTGGCTGCCCGTCACAATTGAGAGTAAGCAAGGAGTCCAAGTGTTACATTTCAATGGCTCCCCGGAGGCCCACTATGTAGGGAACACAATGCTGTGAGTATGAACAACTACTGACTGAGTCACTAGCAAGGAATTTCACAGAACTGTTGTAAGCAGATACGTTAGTCTACCCTCTCAGTTTGTAATGCACAAGCCTTAGTCAATGTTCAACTAAAAGCAGTGCAATATAAGTTCTCAGAATTTAATGACTTAAAAGAACACTAATACATTAGTTTTCGCTTATCTTTGTATCTCATATTTGCAAAAGAAAGCGTGTGTTACTGTGGGGAATATGCCGAACACTACATTCTTCTAAGAACAATCTGTTGAGGCATGGATTCTTGTTTTAACATGAAAGATCAAGCTACAAATTAGACCAGCTGCCAGGAACTAGTAGGCCAATAATTGAGTGCAAAGAATAATCGAGAAAACCCCTACAATCGGCCAACAACTAAATACAAACAAGATTGGGCAACAAGAACTTCAATCAGACAGAAAAAAAAGCATGTAAATATAAGATGATATCTCACACTTAACCTGAGCTCAGTAACATGAGAGACTAAGGCTTAACCAGTTGGCAAGATGGTTATCTGGTTAACAACAATTGGTACGATAAACTTATTAGCATTACAGCTGTACTTATACACAATTCCTTTATTCATATAAGAACTTTTATGGAAGTACACACAATTCTGGGAGCTGATGGTCTTGTATCTTTGGTCATCTGGCCTCTGTCCTAAATCTCTTTTGGCAGAGCTATATGCATTACTAAACGGACATCGAGACCACCGAGCTAAGCATGCCTCGTTTCCTGCACTTTAAAATGGACTAGTGCCAAATGAAATGCAGCCAGCAAATTGGCACACCAGGATATGTCAGGTACCAAGTCATTGTCAATTTCTAACATTTGGAACAGCATTAGCTTGCAGCTTCTACTGCATTATACAATCACTGTTTATAATACTCAAGCAAATTCTTATATAAAACACAAACTTAAAACCAAACTGAACACCAGACAATGCAATGCTTGTTTCCTGTTGGAAGAGCAATGAAAACACCAGTGGACTCACCTTTTCACTTTTCACTTTCTTCATGGTCCTACAATCATTATTTTCCACTTCTTCTGGTTCGCTCTTGATAGCCAAAGGTGTGACTATTCCAGTGGTATCGAGGGTAATATTCCCTAGTTGCTCAGCACCAACAAGGTCCGAATTTTGCGTCCCCTCAAATGGGGTATTGCGTGCCTGGCCTAAAGGCATAACCTGGGCCGATGGGTCCTTTTCCGAGGGCACGCTCCCAGCTTGTACCCCTTCATTTTTCTCCTTCTTGCTTTTTCCAGAACCCTCCTTGTCCTTTTTTCCACTCTGAACATTACGAGAGGCTTTGTTACTTTTATCTGAACCTTTCCCGGAAGGTAAAGTTGTGGAACCGCTTCCCACGGTTGGCCCAGTGGCCTCGTTTTGGGCCCGTCCCTGGGCGTCCTTCTTGGCCCCATCAGGAGTTGAGGATTTGCTACTGTCCTTGGAATTCTTACTACGCTTAGCTTTGGATTTGCTGTCCTTGATCGGCGGAGGAGGCACTGGGTTAATAAACTTGATGTTGCCCGGCAATGCCGCTACAGCACTCGAGGCAGCAGCCATTCCGTCCCTGTCTTTAGTGCCCGACATCTCAAGCTTGTCTTTCTCTAAGTCAGCGTCGAGGTCAATGATCAGGTTGCCTACACCAATTTCCCACTCATCCCCGCTGTCGTAAGTGTCCACTGCATTCAAGTCCACACCTTTCCCGCCTGCAGTGCCACTACTGAGGGACATCTTAGTGCCAGCGGCCCAAGCACGCCACAGGGAGGTCTGACCTTCTCAGACGACTGAGGTGGTCGGGAAGCGCATTTACACAAGCCTCAGGGTCCTGACAAGGAAATATGTAAGAAATTAGGAAATGTAGTAAAATACCATCTGACAAGCACACTGCTCTTATAAAACAGGTTTAGAAAGGCTGACTTTAATTTTCAGTTCTCAAAGTGAATAAATATTGTGTTTCAATAACATCAGAATCCTGTCAAGGCCCTAGATAAAAAAAAGGTTTTGCAAGCTGTACCACTGCACATTAATTACAAATACATGGCGAGTAATCTTTTTAGACTACATTTTAGATGATTCGGGACAAAAAAAAATTCAGCTGAATCATGGTCACCATCAGTTCACAAATAGGGATGCTCCGATCCGCCTTTTTTGCCTCCGATACCGATTCCGATACCTAGGGTTTGGTATTCGCCGATACCGATTCCGCTCCGATACCAGTGAAGTTTTTTTCCCTCATTTAAATAAATGTAGTAATTTTTATATCTCTGTGTGTGGAACTGATAATCATTCTTAGTATAATGGGAACGCAGAATGATCTTGGAGAGAGCTTTACTGAGCTGACTGCTGTAACCGAACGCGACCAGGGTTTAAACTTTAAAGGCTGAACGAATGACTGACAGCCACAGTGGAGAAAAGAGTTTGTGTGAACTTTAATGTAAGGACTTAAATATTCATATGTAGCTCACATTAAGCTATCGTATGGCTTCAGAAGTAACAGAGAATAATTCGCACAATCGAGAAAAAATAAATAAATAAAAAAATCTCGGATTTGGATCGGCTCTCTCTGACCGATACCCGATCCAAGAAAAATGGCACTATCGGAGCCGATACCCGATATGAATATCGGATCGGCGCATCCCTATTCACAAATAGACATTGCATCATAACACACATGGAAACAGAGCCATTCTTCATTGACAGATTGACATCAAAGCTCAACGAATGACTGGAATCAGGCTGACTCAAACATGCCACTCGCTTTGAGACTAAACAGCACTGCTATTAATTTCCTCACAAGTGAACATTAAAGATGTGCAAAACTATATATTTTCAAAACCAACTAGTTGTGGGTTGTCTGAATGACTGGTTGGTTTTAAGGCAGCACTATAATTAGACTAGACGGTTCACAACAGATTAAATCATAACACTGGGGTCTTTAAAATCAGTTTTTAAAGTTGAACTCATTACATACAACATTAACGCAGCTTGAATGCAATGCAATGCTCACGACACTGAAATTAAATCTTGAATCTGAAAAGCATGCTAACATGATTTTAGCATGTTGACAGTGCATTTACAATTACGGTTGCAAGCATATCATGCAGTCATCATGCGAAAACCTCAGCATCTCAGCTTAAAAAGAAATGAAAGAAAATAAAGAAATTATGAACTCACTAGTCAACTACTGTAGTTGCATGACAACTTAACTACTCAGCCTGTAGACTCATCCCTATAGGTTAACCACAGTGTCAGAATATTACAGACAATTATTCAAAACATGTAAACGTCAGATGTCCAGCTCAGTTGGACTAAGCACAAAAGATTTGATCCGAAGCCAAAGGATCTTAAATCAGTTTTAAAAAGCAAACATACACACATGATGCTGCAAAAAGTCTTGCATAAAAAAGCAAAATGCAAAACAAATCACCATACTGTGTTCATTTCTTGTAATTTTGTAATTAACAAAATTGAAAGTTATTGTTGTACATTAATTGTTGTATAAGCAGTGTTTTGATGGCTGAAGCAATGGTGCTTTAAAGATGAACTTAAAGGTGCAACATCTCAGACAGGATTTTAGCATGCTCAGTGTTGTTGTACACTGTTAGCATGCTAAACCTTCAGCATTTAAATTAATCCTCTTAAAACAAGATAAATGATAAACTCATTATTTAAACTAGTTGTTGTTAAACAGTCAGCCATCCAGACCAGTCCCTAAAAGTTTACCAGCATCATGATATTATGCACAAATATTTAAAACATGACAAATGTCAGATGTTCATCAATATGCAGTTTACAAATTACTCACTACTTAAGTCACTATAATCACTTTCCATCGACATGAATTACACACAATCAACCAAATGTCACTGATCTTTAAATAGAAACAGAAACCTTTTTAATGTCAAAGAGGCTTAAAATCTGTTTTCCATTAGAGATTCTTAAGAACACTAAACAACCCATAAACAAACACAGATAACTAGTTCGACTAAAAAGCTCTACATTATTAATTTAGTCTGGAACAGAAATAGAACAGAGAGACGCCGATTAAAGGTCAAAGTCATTGCCCATTACACTCGAAAGAGGTCACATAAAAAGACAGTACGAACCACAAACTGGTTTAACTGCACTACTACAGTTTGGCGGTCGTCTAATAAAACTAAGCACTACTTAAGTTGAAAACGATGAGTCCGTCTTTGAGCTGCATCTTAAATAGCCGAGGAGACAGATGGTTGAATGAGAGGACACTAATCAGTGGTTTGCTGTAATCCGTCATTCCACCAGGGAACATGGAGTGTGTCCTGCAGGAAGCTTTCCAAACGTCTGCCGTTTGAACCCAAGATAAGACGGACTTCCACTATCACAGTCATTCATCAGTCCCTTGCTTTTCTTGGCACTATGAAAAGCTTTGAGAGTAGAACTTCGAAAGATGCCATTTTTGAAGGCGATTAATGCAAACAACAATGAAATGCCACAACACAATATCAATGTTATTTTAAATGATTTCTGAGCTACCATAACAGCATTTTACCTAATTAAAGGCGGAGCTACTGGATGTTTATATTAGTGGTTCGACCGATATGTTGGCCTTGTTTAGCATTTTTTAATTATTGGAATCAGCCAAAAATTTTTCCTTTTTGCCAGATATGTCAGAACTGTAGTTGCATGACAACTTAACTACTCTTTAAACTTGGATGTTTATTTTGACGGTGTGCAGGACTTTTATTTTGACAGCACTGAACACGCAAGCGCCTGAGCACACAGAGCTCCCATTCTTCGTCCATATCAGTTGACTGCTGGTTCAAATACTTTCTGCCATTGGAGTTTGACGTTTAGAGTAGGGATGTGCGTGATGACTAATTTGACTGTCGTTTAAACGAAAGTTTTGTATCCGACTAGTCGAAAAGCAAGAAACCCCCAAAAGATGGTAAGAAAAAAAACCTCTGTGCGTGCATGTAGCATATATTATAGCCTATATTTGAAATACTTAATCTATGAATCACACTGTCAAATCCCTCAATGAATTCCGCTTGCCGCACACTTGCCTCGCGTTATCATCATTTCATTTTAGGTGGTCGTTAAAAAGAAAAAAAAGAAGAGCATATCAACATAAGCCAAAGCATAGCTTATTTATTCAAATCAGCTGGGGAAATGCAGAACAATGGAAAATCAATCAATAGCCTGACAGAATTCTTCATCTTCATATAACGTTAGCCAACATATTAAACCACAAGTCAAAAACAATAGGAAGGTTTATCAAGAAATAGCATTAAAACGGCTTTTAAAAACGTA